ACTAGATCTTCTTGGTGGTCTCTGTGCTTCACACCCATGGGTCTAGTGCGCCTGCGCTGGATCAAATCGGTGCTGTAGCAAGCTCTCTACAAAGGATTTTCGCGCCCATCCCCTCAGGCAAGCGCAGGGCCCCACTGCGCATGCCCAAGGGGGCGGGCACGGACATCCCACCAGTTCTTTTCCTACCGCCGCGTTGGAAGGACTTGTTTTACTTCTCTCCGTTCGGATCGCTGTTTCTTGCTCTCAGTAGTTTGTTTTCGGTTTCTTTTAAGGAACCGCCTCTTTTTCTTTCTTAGTTTGTGTGTTTATCACATGTTTCTCCACCCCTTGATGTTCCCTGAAGCAAGAGAGCCTTCGGTTAATTCACACCACGTTCTCTTGCGGTGCCATCAAAAGATCCAATCTTTGGGAAATGGAAGCCTCACCGAAACAGGGATCGAAAACCCCCAAGCCACAGCAAACTGCCCTTGCCGGTTCAGATCCTAGTGCCCGAAGAATAAATTTCCATCCTATTCCCCCTTTTTTTCTTTTTTTATCACGAGAGACCAACCTCCTTCCCTTCTGAACTGCGGTATACTTACCGTATCCCTTACAATGGAATCCTCTCCTCCTCCTCCTCCTCCTGATACCTGTGCCAGTTGGTTTAGTCTCACAGGGCGGACCCAAAAGAGATGGGGGATCCAGCCGGTACGGATCCCGGGAGACTGAACCAAAGATGGCTGGGTTTGGAGTCCCGCTATAGGAAATTTGTGCCTTCGGGGCAATGGGCACAATAGGGGAATGGTCCAGGATGGGCTATAATGACTGGTGATGGCTCAGAATGGGATTTTGGACAAAAAGAAGCCAGGGTTTGAGGAAGGGCGTTGTCAGCAAGGCGTTGGGCACCTGCAGAGTCTTGGCTCCATTAATGGCCGGGCTGTCAAGGGAACAACAGACGGTGGCCGGGGTGGTCCCAGTATCGAGTGGCGAAGTCCGGAGGTTTGATTGTGAGACGTAGAACTGGAATGCGGGTCCGCTGACGCCCTTGCGATGACGAAATGAAGACATTGTCCTTTCACCATGACAGATACAATGCCTGCTGTCTCTGAACCTGATGGCCGAATGCGTCAGAGAGACGGTCCTGAGCACAGGGCTGGGCTTAGCTGGCTTTGCACAGAGAGAGGGGGCTGTACTTGCCCTTTGTCACCTTTGGCCCTAACCTGGCCGGGGTACCGTCCTCCGCACGGCAAGAGGAGGCGGAGTCTAACATGCCGGACTCGAGGAGGATGGTGGGGGGCCTGGAATCACGCCAGGTTCTGTGATTGGGGGGGATTGGAGTTCCCCCTCCCCCAAGTCTTCTGCCCTCCCCACACTTGTCCTTTTCTCAGAGCAGAAGCCTTGGTGTTAAAACTCACTATATCGGGTGTCAAACATAAGGCCCGTGGGCCGGAAGCGGCCCGTCCAGGGCTCTTATGCGGCCCGCAAGCAACTAGTGCAAGGGAGGCAACCAGGGGACTGCTTGGGGGAACAGTGGGCGGAGCCACCACGATTGTGGCTTCAGCATGGCGGAACAACCTCGTCTGCAGCAGTCAAGCAGCGTGGGAGCGTCTGTCCGGTGCTGCACCGCTGGCTCTCCAGTCTGCCCGTATGGATTTTCCATTGCATTCCCCTCCCAGCCCATGAGGCCTTGCAGTGAGGATACACCAACTCTGAGCTTACCAGCTGCTGTCCTTTCTACAGTTTATGTCTCTGGTACCTGGCATTACGTTTTATGGCACGCATGGCCCGCCCGGCCGGACAAAGTGACATTCATGTCAGATCCGGCCCTCGTGACAAATGTTGCTATGTGTTGTTTACATAGTAGGTAATACGACCAACTTGCTAGCCGTTGCCACCAGTGAATCGCGACAAATCCACCAAAGTCACTTCCCATAGCAACTCTGAACGTCTCGCAGGGTGCTTTGTTAGCATCACATCACACGGACTTCCAGTTCTCCAGTTACAAAGGATCGAGATGTGTGGTGGTGGTGTTGCAGGAGCACGCTGTTCCCGACCCAGAAGGGACTTTCCAGGGCTGACTGAAGCAGGCGGCATCTAGGGTAGTCCAAAAAAAGGCCAGGATTGTTTCGAAGTCACCGGTGGCCTGCGGTCATGCGAAACATGCAAAGGGAACAAGATCCTCATGAAAGCTAGGTGCCGTGTTAAACTGGGGGGGGGGTCTTCAACCTTTTGGAGCCTGCAGGCACATTTGTAATTCTGACACGGGCACGATGGGCGCAGTCACGGAATGGCCGGATGGCGGAGCCAGCCACGAAATGATTGCTGCAGCTTGACTTCAGTAACACAGTGTAGATCGGGGGTGGCCAAATATCATTATCAATATCTGCTTTTACCCGTTTTTGTTGTTATTTTTGGCAGTCTCCTTTAATGTTAAAGGAGAGCCAGTTTGGTGAGCCAAGGAGAGCCAGTTTGGTGTAGTGGTTAAGTGTGCGGACTTCTAATCTAGGAGAAACGGGTTTGATTCCCCACTCCTCCACATGCAGCTGCTGGTGTGACCTTGGGTCAGTCACAAGTTCTCTCAGAGCTGTTCTCTCACAAGCAGTTCTCAAAGGAGCTCTCTCAGCCCCACCTACCTCAAAGGGTGTCTGTTTTGGGGAAGGAGGTGAAAGGAGATTGTAAGCTGCTCTGAGACTCCTTTGGGTAGTGAAGGGTGGAGTATAAATCGAATCTTCTCCTCCTCCTCTTCTTTCTTCTTCCTCTTCTTGTCCGTTTGGTGTAGGAGAGCCAGTTTGGTGTAGTGGTTAAGTGTGCGGACTCTAATCTGGGAGAACTGGGTTTGATTCCCCACTCCTCCACTTGCACCTGGCTGGATGACCTTGGGCAAGCCATAGTTCTGACACAGCTGTTCTTGAAAAAAGAGCAG